ATAATAATAAATATAAGCTCTACAACAGAATAAGTACGTAATACCAGTACTGATGTAAACACCAACGTTAGATCTTGTGTGATAGAGATCTAACTTGCCATCAAATCACCATAACTCATTTGAAGACAATGGAGTCTCGAATGTCCACACGTAATTTTGTATAATTCCAGGCTGTGGTACGCGATAGCACATTAATTTGTTAAGACAAAGAGGTGAAGTGAGAGAGCTTTATTCAAAAGTAGGTTCTGTTTCAAGAACCTTTGGCGAGACTACAACTCATGGACAAACCAATGAATTTAAAGTGAGCGAATCTTGCATTTTGGCGTGAAATTTATTCATTCGTATAGTTAAACAGCACTTTGACATCGTAGCTGATGTCAGTTTGTGGTGGAAACCTTAATTTTAATAACTAAAGTCACATTCCTACGCTGAATTCTAATCTTGATTCACCATACTAGTTTATAACCCTCTCCCAACAATGGTGAGTGACTTGTTCAGACACCATTATGGTGTCTCTTATAGGTCGCCCATAAATTTTTGCATCACCAAATCTGCATCGTCAGTACCTATCAAATTGAATTTTTAAACAATATACAGAAGTTCTTCGTATTGATTCCTCATGCAATGCTAATAACAAGAAAATTAGACGTTGCTTGATAACTTTATTATGTAGGTATCCGTTGTTTCAGTTAGTGATTGTAGTTTCAGTACTTAATAACTTTGGAATGAGGAATAACGATTGAGGTGATTTTAGACACGCGTGCTCCTGTGTAGTTGTAACTGATAAAAGGTTCTTGGGTAAAGATCGGGCCCACGAATTTCTGTCAATTTACCTAAATAAATATTACCACCTGGTTATTCAACCAATCATCAAATTAGGTTCAACAAATAAACGTTCCTATTAATATAGGAATACTGTTCTGTCCTTTCTGGATAGATCACGTAATGTCTGTTCAAAAAGTTCTATTGAGTTTTCTATAACCCCGAGTGCTTCCGCTTTCAAAAGACTGCTTCAATTCACAAAAAAATTCACAAGTTTAGTCAGTTCAAGCAACACGATCGGAAAGAGAAACGAAATAATGTGGCGGCAGCAATAATTAAGCAATAAGTAAACAAAATTGACATGGTTTATGGGAAGCATAGGAATTTCTGAAATCGATGCATTGAGAATCACCCATCCACAAGCTAACGTAATCACATTAGGCCTTCATCTCTCCTGTATTTTCAGTAGAAAAGCGCGTGAATGCAGACTTATAACATTTGACTGCAAGCGGTAATAGTATTGAACAATTCATTATTGTCGCTTAGCAACTGCTGAAATTGTTTCAGATAAATGCCTAAAATGCATACGACTATACAGTTCAGCACAGAAGTGCCAAACAATTTCAACATGTTGACTACATTTCTCGACAGTCATTACAAAATAGACCTGTTAATACTTCAGACTGTCTTTTAGTGCAGCCTTTACCAGTGAGACGTCCAGACCTCATTAGAGAAACTCGTAGATATTTTGGAAGTATACTCAGTGCTTTAAGGAAAGGCTGGAATGGTAGTCTGAAACGTAGATTTCCTGTTTATTTTTTAAAGTGGGATGAGCTATCCACTACTCCTGATGGTATTCTGTGTTGAAGTGATCGTGTTGTCATTCCTCCTTCATTGCGTAAATCTGTCCTTGAAGCTTTTCATAGTGGTCATTTAGAAGTTGAGAAAATGAAGTCCTTGGCAAGGCTCACATGTTGGTGGCCAGAGATAAATGCAGATATGTCGTACAGCAAACAATTGTGAGAAATGTCATCAGTTGAAATATGCAATGGTAGTTACTGATTCTTTTCCAAAGTGGCCTGAAGTTTTTATTTGCAACTTCACGAAGTTCTGATTCCACAATCCAAGCATTAGAAAAGGTGATTAGTAGAGAAGGGGTGCCTATGATGTTAGTGACCGATAATAACTCTAGTTTTGTTGCGGATACAGTCACTATCTGGTTGAATGGCATAGGGTGTAGACATCTTTTCATTGTTTCCAGAAAACCTTTTTTAATGTTGAAGCAAAACATTTTGACAGGAAATCGAAAACTGCTAGTGATTCTAGTGCCGCGTCAACATCTAATGGGCTGGAGTGAGGAGTAGATAACTTTTTACGGCGAAACTCTAATCCACGGATGGGTCAATCAGAAGCGTTCGAGAAATTTCAAGGTTATGGAGCCAAGTTCAACACCTGATGCCCATATACGATCGCTTTACAGTGCATTTTAGAGAAGAGGTGATGATTGAGCGGTTACAAGAGATGAGACTACTTAGAATTCCCTGTACCCGTGACTGCGGTTATCAAATGACTGTAGTATAGTGTGCAGACTATCGTGATAAGATTGTATTTCGTTGTTCTTTATGTTGGTGAAAAAGGCTGCACCAATCATTTGGAGGAGTAGAAAGTAATGTGGAAATGCATCAGAGGACGTAGTATCAAGGAAGATTGGGTAGGTAGCACTCCCGTAAATATACTTGACAGATACTTGGAATTTATGATCGATCAACGCAACAGGGGTAGAACCGGCAAGCAAGCACAATAATACCAATTATACAGGAATACGTGCAGCCGGGTACTACGGTATATATGGATGATTGGAGAGCTTATAGATGTACAGAGTCTTGATCCAGTATACTGTTGGATAGACACAGGATGAACTTAAGAGGAAATACAATTATTTACAGACACCTAGACACAAATTTAAGCTGTGTTGCGTGTGATGTTTGAATGAACCAATGATTCCTTAGTACTTGTTGAATACTTGATTTCAAATTCCAATTACAGTACATTCGTCTGCGTTGATCTAGTACTTCTTGATCCAATTACATTATTACTGATACTACTAGTTTGTACTGTAATTCGAATACTCCTAGTTGTCACATCACCTTGACAAATAATACCACTGAGTTATTCAACCAATAATTGTTCACTCAGTAGTCAAATCTAAATTTCATCAAATAGATAATTTGACAAAGGGTATAAGGGAAATACGAGGTGCAACAAGTGGATATTATTCCATCCTCTGTAGCTAGATTACTTACAAGCTGTTCGAAAGATAATATTTAATTTCGTTATGACATTAAGTGTTCCCGGTTCTAGAAGAATGCTTCAGTTCACAGTCAGAAATGTGCAATTCCAGTTCATGCAGTGAACACAATCGACGCGTGTTATCGGCGATTATTTGAAAGCAGGAAATATCTAAAATCAACAGCATGCAAGCCAGGATCAACAAAAGTCTGTGGAGGAAGGATACAACATGCAGCCAACAAATGCGGTTCTGTTACATAAGGGTAAATTTATTTGAGAAACAGTCTCAAATATCACTTCATACATGCAGTTGTACTTCTTCATGTGGCACATTAACCCTATCGTGCCCTGTGATAAAAGTATGGATTCATATCAATAAGAATACATACAATAACTTGTAATATTGCTACACTATCCCGTCGGTCCGTGAAACACTATCCTCAGTGCTTGGTTGAGGACAGGGGTATGCCACACCACCTTCTGATAGTACTTCGTAATAACTGGTGGTGAGTGGGGTATTGGCAAAGTAGTTATCTAAGTGCACTGTCGTTCGATATGGTTACGAATGACTGTGGCATTTTGTTGTAACGCAGCTCATAGGCCGCCGAATGTTACATGACACAAAGGTAGTTGGTGATCAAACAAACACAATTTCGCAGAGACCTTGAAATGGAGAATAGAGCTTGCTGTATGTTATTTCAATAATTCTTATTAAAATAACCCATAGTGTCATTGAACGATGATTTAAACAAGTCACCCATCTTTTTTTCGTTAGGCAACCGTTGGAAATCAAGAAGCATTGTGTTATGCTATTAGCTTATTCGATTATTGCGAAATACGGTTGCAAATTTAGATACACTTACTTTTAAGACAAAACTAAAAACGCATACACTAGTACGAACGGCCTAAAGTTCCTATTAGCCCTTTATCCGCCTAGCCCTACTTGTTAAGTCCAGAACGCCAAATTCATCCCTCACGATACGAATCACAAGTGGCTGTTATTGTGGAAGGCTGTAATCAATAAAGTGGGCATAACTTGAGAATAGTAAATCATGTAATAATAATCAATAGGTCAATTACGAACTTCCAATGAAAGGAATATATGTATATGTAGTTTAGTTACTTAACAATTATACAATAAGAATGTATGTATATTATCAGTCTATAAATCGATCACAACAATACCATTCATTATTCTCGTCAAGATATAACACACTGGACAGTTGTTACTTTTCACTTCGAGACTCCTTAATCAATCCATTTTATGAAATTTCAGGTTCAGCAATTTCTATAACACTATATAATAATTGTCCTTCTGTACTTTGATCAGCTTAAATTGGAAATAGACAATAATCTATTTCATTGCATGGTTTTTTATCCATTCTTATCTCTCGTTAGTCCAAATACTTCTATCAGACGCCAAACGTTCTCATCAGAAATAAATAATTTCCATTGTACACTATGTAACTATTCCACATGGAGTGTTAAGAACACTAATCAATTGTAAAAAATGTTCAGGCGGACTGTATATTTCATGACAAACTTCTAAATTTTCCATCGAGTATGAAAACAAGTAATTAGTTATACTGTTCTAGTATAAGACCACTTAGTAACCCATGAATTGTAAAAACGTCAGTTTCAAACCTGTGACTGCCGCGTCACCATTTATTCTAATGAACTGAAATACGTTTAAACTTCGCTTGAATTGGAGATTTGTTTTTAAATCCAGCACTGGGATACTGGTTTTTCCAGCTGACGAGCCCTAAATGGGGCAAAACAGTCTTATATACGAATCCAGCTATATCTTTAATACAGATTGCCCAAGCATAACAAATCATTATGATAGAATATTGTATAATTTAACACAGGCATCTGCTTTCTTTTAGTATTAATATACCATCTATCGTTTATTGTCATCAACTTTCTTATCAATTGAATTAATTTTTTTAGGTTGTTTCAAACGGAAATATTTTAGCAACTGATCAATTACGTATGCCGAATGCAGTTACATCACGTACATTTTCAATTGCTGTATCACGTTACATGTTTCCAATATCACATATTGTGGCATATTTCATTAAAGACAATAGTGAAATTGTATCAGATTCATTGACATTTTATGCAAATTATACACATTTGAATAATGTACAAATGCAAGTTAATCGTGGAAAAGATTTAAATCAAGATACATTAGAAATTAGAGGTTATGCTAAACCTGGATCTTATATAGCATTCAGCGTAATGCATGCTGATTTGTACGCTATTGGCGGTGCTTCATTTTTAAGAGAATATGATGTGAGTTCAAATTCAGCAATTATAAGATAGTACTCTGTTTTCAATACTTTACCTAATTTCATTGGGTATATTATTTCAATTTCATTAGTCGTTATAACTGATATGGAGCTCTGTCATGCATAACGCTATTTGCGTTGACTATTCACTGTTCCGGAATCCAGTATAAGGTTTTTTGTTGAATATGCTATAATCGTGTTAGAACTACATATTGATTGATTAACTATGAACTAAAAACCTCATTTTTAAATATTCATGTATTGACCACGAGATTTATGGGTAACAATATAAATAAAGAGTATTCCAACAAATCTCACAATTTTGCTCCTGGAGGTCCACTTGTCGGCTTAGAATACGCAGATGACATGGTCCTGTTTAGTGAAGACTCTGATAAAATGCAGTCTTTTGGTGACACTGAGTAACAATGCCAGGATGTTTGTTATGCGTTTCCCCCCCACTCTAAATGCAAGTTATTGCTTCAGGACAGGCCTGCGTCAACATCTGTACTAAGGACAGGAGGTGAAGTAGACGAACGCGTCGCCAACTTCACTTATCTTGGACGTCTGATCAGCGCTAATGGGTTGGTATCTGATGGAACCTCTATATGGATTCAAAAACCTCGTTTGTCTTTTGCCAACCTACGCCACCTATGGCGAAGGCGAGATATCCGTCTATTAATTAAGGGATGAGTATACTGCGTAGCAGTTCGTTCTGTCTTACTTTACGGCTGCGAAACGTGGCTACTAAGGATAGAAGGTACTCGTAAGTTGCTAGTATTTGATCACAGATGTCTCAGAAATATTGTTCGCATCTGCTGGGATCACCGGGTAAGTGATAATGAGGTTAAACGCAGGGTATTAGGGAATGATGGTTAATCAATTGATGAGGTTGTAAATCTTCATCGACTAGGATGGTGGAGGCACGTGTTGCGTATGCCTGAACGCCGACTACCACGACGTGCAATGCTGACACTATTGGTGAGAATGGTTGGAAGAAAGATAGGGGCAACCAAACCAAGACGTGGCATCAGTGCTTGAAGTCACTAACTTCTGGTATGAGCCATGTTGGTAGATGAGGACTATCGTAACCAATGGTTGGGGACTGTGACTGATGTGGCTCAGAATCGATCACAATGGCGCTGGTGTACACACTCTATGTCTTTCTTTAAACTATGAGACTAAAATCGCTTTATACCTTTTTTTCTACGAACTAATTCTTTCTTTCTGTACTATACCCTTACATAAAATCTTTCCTTTATATATTACACCATTGAGTTAACTGCTTCATTTAATCTGGTGTTCGTCTTGCTGTGCTAATGGGGTGTAGCAACTTGGATCGATGCATGTATGTACCTGGTCCTACGTTGTAATTGACTGACTTGTAAACAGTAATGAACACTTCTATTTAGTTAGTCTATTCTATTGTGTCTCGTTTAATACTTAGACACATATGTGAACCTTTAATTATTTATAACGATTGTACGTAATAAATACGATTCCTTTGTTAAAATTCATGAAATGATCGACCTTCTAGTATTAGCGACGAACGATTCGAAATTTTATTTCGAATTATTGTTAAACACTATCATTTAGGAAATAGTTTTATCAAAAATATATCGAACATCATAAATATAAATGAATTATACAGATATGGATGGAGTGAAGTTTAATTCACCCAATTGCACAAGCTATTGGCTATTCGAACTCAGTGATTAAGTGGATAACGTGATGGTGTTTGGGGATAACACAAGCTGGTTTGAGCACTTGAGTGAACATCAACTGTGGGATGCAGATACATCTAGCTGACGCGTGCCAAATAGGATGAAACACGTGTCCTGTATTTCACTGCTAGTCACCATCCATGTTTGCTTGTAATGCTTGTGATTTAAGATAATATCGAGGCAATCCGTACAGGATGCATATATGTCAATCAGAGACTGATTTATCAATTACATTCGTAAACACCAATGGGGCGATTCAAACAACCAATACAAAAATGAACTAAATGGATTAAATTACATTTTTACTAAAACTATTTGTTCATTATTAAATATCAGTTTATATTAGTTATTTAAATGTTTTTAATTATCAGATTGTCGATGAATTAATGACATATGAACAACATAGTCAAGCACCATTGGTTCATACATGGTATGAAGATTTTAAAGATATTAAACGTATCTATTTACCGACATCCAGTAATGGAGCAGATACCAATAGTACAATGAATTCATCCGGTTTAATTATATTCACTGATGCTAATTTCACTAAAGCGAATTTTTATCGTAAGTTCTCAAAAATGTTATTAAATGGTTTAAAGCTAATTAACTTTATGCATAATACATGATCTTGGATAATAAGATGTAAAAAGGATACTGATGAAAGGAGATGCGTGTTTTTACGTTTTGTATTTTCCGAAATTCCTATTTGATTCAAATCATTTTCAGTGTTTTACAATTCGACGAAATTTATTTGATCCAAAAATGTAATAACTTTTATAATAGACACTAGGGAATAATATTTAAATAATACTATTTCATACAGTTAAATACTAGCCACCATACATCTTTGCATGTAATGCCTGTGACTTAGAGCAATCCATACAGGATGTACATAAGAGATTGATCAATTTCAGTCCTAAACATCAATTAAAAGATTCAAACAAACAAAACAAAATGGATTTATGACAAAGGAAGAGCTTAAAGTTAGTTAACTATCATCAGGACAATGATTATTGAGAACAAAATGGCTACTTCGTTTAAATTTTGAACACAATTCGGTAGTGTCCTTGATAGGTCACATATTACACTGGATTTTCGGTGTGCATATTTCTCTCTCTCCGTCTCTGAGATACCGACTTTTAATCCAGTTGTTCACATAACTTTTAGAAATAGAGAGAAATAACTTATAACCATTTTTCATTTTCTTTTTTTTAATGAAATATTGTCATACAAAGCAATTAATCATTCTTGTTACCGTGAAATAAATATTGTAGTGAACGATAACACAAGTGGGGACAATCGAATGTATTTTAATATAAGATTACAGAACATCTTAGTAAAATCCGAGAACTTCATTTGCAAAATGTCCATAAATTGTCTCAGACTCCATTGTTCCTTCGTTTTCTCACAAATCATTCTCTGTTCTCGTTCTATTTTCTTCAATCTTCTTAACCCTCTGCCACCAGGCATTTCTACACACACCACAATATGATTAGATTAACTCCTTTGAAAAAACACAAAGTTATCCACAAGGATTTTTCATCGAAATCTGTTCTGGTTAATCATTTCCAGTTGCTTTCAAGTGCTATTCATTCTTTTGATGTCTACCTCCAATTCCTGATGCAATATGTTCTTAAGTCCTCCTCTTTTGTTTATACATTTAGGATTCGAAGTTAAGGCTTGTCTCGTGATGCAGTTTGATGATTTCCGCAATGTATGTCCTATCCATCTTCATCGTCTTTTCCTAATTTTCTCTTTAGGTGGGCGTCGGTTTGTTTTCTAACACAGTAGTCTGTTGTTGATGGTATCCGGTCAACAGACATTGAGTATCTTGTGTAGACAGTTGTTTATAAATATTTGTACATTTTTGATGATGATTATAGTAGTTCTCCAAGTTTCACGTCCATACAGTAGAACTATTTTGACGTTCGTATTGAAAATCCTGACTTTGATATTTGGTTGACAGTTGTTTTGAGTTTCCTATTTTCTTCAAGTATTTCATTGTAAGTAAGCAAAGATTAACCGAAACAACCATTTTTAAGTTACTTTTATGAAAACTTTATCATCTTTTAATCATTTTAGAAATGTAACACATGTACCTCGACACTCGTTTTGTAGTATTGATTGTAAACATGTTAATTGATCATTTAACTTGATAGTGGCTGTCGAGAAGAGTAGATCGTCGATAGCTGCAATCGGTATATTAGCTCAAGTGTAACAGGTTGAAGAGCCTTCTAACGAAAGAGCATAGAAATCAAATAAATCTAACATTTCTCAAAAAAAAAAACAATTGATTTTGTGAATACTTCTAACTATTATTTAATCAATAGATACATGTAATGAAACTGAGAACCCTGCACGTGCCTTACCATGCTACTCTCTTACTGGTCGAGATTGTTATTCAAGAAGTGAACGATGTGATGGGATCAATCAATGTGCTACTTGGATTGATGAAATGGACTGTCCAGAAAATGAAACTAAAAATCCTCAACCATTACGTTTAATAAATACATTTGATATATTAAATCGTCAATGGAATGATGGCGCTTGGTTATGGCATAGTACATTTGTCAAGTAAGTAGTATCTGTGTAGGATTTTTAAAATAAATAAAACAACCACAGTAAATATCGTGTGGTTGTAAAAGTACTGATCGCAGTTGGGTACATGATGGAAAATACAAATGCATTTTTGCTTTATTTATCTATCGAAATATCTCATTTGACTTGAGAAGAAAACCGATTAATTCGTTAATCACAGATGACTCCGATTACGTTGATGATGATGTGATAAATTGAAAAGTCAGTAGCTAGATAAAGGCAGAACAATAGCTTTCATCAACTAAATCATGGTCAAGCAATTTACGAAAACAACAATTATGAACATCAAATTAGTTAAGTTGCAAAGATTGAGAGTTGAGCATCCAGAATAGGAAAATAAGTCCAAGTGAGGTCGTCTTTTGCCCTTAATATCACCCTTTTAGTCACTTAAATGAGTATAATTTAGGCATTGAAAGTGAAAAATAATAAGTATAGTTTTGTGCTCCGAAATACTGCTTTTGTGTGATTAGAGACAATTATTTGAAAGCTCTGAACCTCTATGTTGTGCTAGTTGGTACTCGTCAGGAAGATTTATTTGCAAACAGAAGCGAACGTGATGGTCTTTGTGGAGTCCATACCCAAGTCATCCAATATCATATTCAGAGACATTATGATTGAGTTATTCGGGTCAGAATTGATCTCATCTAGAACTTTGCTTCATGCTCCCTAATTGATCACCAAGTATTATTCCTTGTTATGTTTTCCAGTTATTAAGACAGATCAGATTGGATTATGACAACTAATCTACCTGACATGAATACACAGTGTACTGTATTTAATGATGAAATACAGTATTATACTTCTAAGATGGTTAGTTGGATATAAACGAATGATAGTTATGTATGTACGTGCAATAGTGAAGTAACCATCGATTTCATCGATAATTCCTATGCTTCAATATGTAAGTTCGTTAGCAAAAGTTCTTCGTTCATTTCAGAGTTTTCATCTATTCCCTCCAAGATAAGAAACAATGACATAAAGTTCGCTTCTTTGAGAGAGTCATTCAATACTCCTTACTCATCGCGTGAGATAATCAACGAACTGCAATTGCTGCTGAAATCCAAGAATCATAATAATCCATGTGTGTATATCAGACTTGAAAATGTGAAAGCTAATTTCTTTCTGAAACAGTGAATGAAAGAAATTCAAGTTTTAAAATGAAATACTTACTTGTAATTTGCTAATTAAATGCACGTTTTTGGACTACATAAATTTAAGACCATAAATACGCTGACTTATGTGAATGTAGACAGTCAAATTGTACCCCTGAACTTATTTCGCGTGCTAGTTATTTCTAATCATCAGGGGACTGTTGTTATTTGTGGTTTTAGAACGCAAATATTTGTAAGAGGTCGAAATTAAAATACTTCCATATAAAAACAAAATGGATTATCACAAACATGATTTATTATAAATCTTATATGAAATAATATTTTTTTCAGTATAAAGTTGTGGAGATTGTTAAATTTCATTGAAATTACAAACCAAACAAAGTTAGACAATCACTGAGATCCCGTAAGCATCGGACACCCGTTTTGCTCTAGTATGGGACTCGTCAGCATTTCGGATCCAGGACCGCCACGCGGGGATCTAACCGAAGACTTTCGGGCTCTCATATGAACGCCTAACCTCCACATAACTGAACTAGATCTAATGGTGCATAAGTCTAATTTTACTCAGTTCATAATACTCCGCGACTATTTTATGTTGTCTCTGGTGGGTACCTCTCTCTCACATACGACACATCTTAGCCGAACTGGTCACAGCTTTTCCCTAGAACTACAGGAATTCCATCTCAAAGCTAGTGTAAAATGTGATCGATAGACGAACCCACCATTAATAAAGGGAAACGCCCACCACCACACTAACTCCTTTTGACCTTGTACGACTGTATCTCTTTATTAACCAATCACAGTTTAATGTTGATTGTAAAACAATATTTGCTTATTGACTTATTTTTCCTATTCTCTGGCTACTGTTCGAAACAGATAAAGTTTATCTAGCCAAATAGCTTGCCTTTTCTGACTTTGGCCAAACCAAGACTCTGTATTCGACGGTCTAGAGAATAGCTCAGAATTAAACCTGTAGGAAATCGCTCCCTACAGATAGTCACTACTGAGCACATGATGATTGCCGGTGTGGGATTGCGAAGATTGTTGAATTTTATTGAAATCCATAAGCGATCAAAGTTTAAGCAAGACTTGTACACCAGTTGTCCATGTATCAGTGGTCTATAGATCAAGGGTTCGCGCACGAGACTAAAGGTTTACGGTTCGATTCCTGTGTTCGGGATTTTGAATATGCACTTCTAAGCACTCTCATACTGAGACGAAGCAGGTGTCCATTGCTTCCAGGTTTCAAATGGTTCTCTGAACGTGATCGATTAATCATTTCAACAATAGCTTTTCTTGTCTGGAATTCTAAATTTTACTTTCATTCAATCATTCCATTACTTTAGAGCTGATGGACAAATTCAGTTTCGTGTTGATCTACCAAAAATGAATGCTGACTGGGTAGCTGGTGCATTTTCAGTTGACAGTGAATTAGGTTTAGCTTTAATGCAACAACCTTATTTATTTTCTGGTACAAGACGATTTTATATGACAGTTGAACTGCCTGAAGAAGCTGTCTGGGGTGAACAGATCGGTGTTCGTGCTTGTCTTTTTAATAATTGGAACTATTGGATTGAGGTAATTAAAAATTTATGGATCAGTTTGGCTGAAGCGTTTGTGCGAAGAAATTGAGTACCCGGACAAAATGTTTCATAAGTAACAGGACAAAATACTACTAAAAACTAGGATTCTTTCTATCCTCCCTAGCATAAGTAGTTACATCCATTATTTGTAAAGCGTTCAGTGAGGATGTTAGATTTTTTGTGCTCGTTGTTTCCTCCAATATGGCTGAACGACGATGCTAGTGAAATACAGAAAGCGTATTTAACTTCGTATATCTTCCATCGATTAATTACTTCAATAAAACATAATAATAAAAATTCGAATACGAATTGCATTTTGAATATGTAAATTTGAGATACTCATGTGAGCAGGTAAACTGAACGACAGAACATGTACATTGAATACACACTGACAGAAGCATCTATAAAAGTTTTCTCAGTTAATAGTGGACAACTTACAAATAACCAATTAAAGATGTTAGACACACATAAGTTGAGCACAATTAAACTGTTATTAGTTGAAGGGATTTGTGAAGATTGTAGAAGTTTAAAAATTTAAATTACGAACTGATCTTAGTTAGTCGAACGCAGAATCTTTGGTTTCGGGCTCAAACGTTTATGCTCTAGATCACTGAACCGACATCCAACGGTGTTAATACCTAGTCTTACCCAATTTACTGTATCTCTCAACCCCCATCAATTGCCTGCAGTGGATAACTATCTCACACGACATGGATTGGACTCTACTAGTCACGGCTTTTCACTGCAACTTCGTGAGTAACATCTTCGAAACTAGTCATCAGTGTAAACATAGTTATCATAAGTAGTATGAGAGGTTTTCAGGAAATTTTTAGATTTTTAAAGTTTAAATCACAAACTGACGAGTCCCGTACTGGGAGCAAATGAACATCCAATATTTATGGGTTTTTATTGGTAATCTAGCTAAGATATGTTCAAAGTTAACAGTAAATAGTTGACAACACAATATTTTTGGAAAATAAACATGAAATAATACAGGCAAACAGAGATAGACATCCATGCATGCAATATAATCAATAAAGTTACAAATAAACATCTAAAAGTCAGAAAAAGATGAAACAATACTTTATATCAGTCTGTCATATTAATCAATTGTTCATGAATAAATTGATTAGGGATCACAATAGGTCATTACAGATTGAAGCACAGTACTTTAGTATTTGAATCTCAGTCAACAACTGGGCATATATTCTAACCTTCTCTCTCACAAACACACTTAATCTCATCAGTCTCTTTCGTCTTGTCTTGGCGATAGAATTTTATCACATGTAAGCTGATTTCATTTGCATTCAATCTGTAAAGTTGAATACAACTGTAATCTTTTCCCAAGCATCTAAACTCAAAAGGGATTATTGTCATTGGTTTCTTTCTATTGTCACCTAATTCATGAAATGAATGTGGATGATTAACAGCTTTCAGTAATAACTCTCTTTTAAGTGAGTAATTTCATTTTGTTTAGTATCTAAATATTTGCTGCAAAATCTATACCAATCAATAACTAAATTGTTTAAGATGATCTAAATAAATAGATCTCATTATTGATATACAATTAATGGTCTACTTTAGAAGAAGAGTTATCTTTTGATCCCCAAAACAGACTAATATTTATTGATTATTATTTCACAGTTTACAACTTGTTGTTGTAATTAGTAAATCAACAAGAAGTTTTTATTATGCAAAAATTCACATCTTTTAGGTTTTCTTTTTCATTTTAGGCTTTAGTAGAAGTAAAACCAAGTCCTGATTTACGTATTATTCAAGTTGGATTAGAAGGACGTGTATCAGCGTATGCACCAGAAGTATCTATAAATAAAGCTGTCCAATCATTAGCTTATTTAGAAGCTGGTACATCTCGTTATATTTATATGCCAGTTTCACCGAAACTACCTGGGAATACTTCATTTACAATATGTGCATATAGTTTTATCGGTTCCAATTGTGAAACACATACAATATATGTTCGTGTAAGTTTAAATTGAATTATTGTTATAGTGGAGTGATTTCGTATGTTGTTTGTAAAACAAATAAGTTCATGTTAAGTATTATTAATGTTGAAAGCTAAAACTTATATCAGTTTTGTGTAAATCCACAGTGAACTGAGTCTATCAAAAAAATTTGTTTTTTCTATTAACTTGATCTAAACTTAGTATTTTCGTCCAAACTAGACATTCATCAAAGCAAGCTTACTTAGTAGATATCTTCGGAATATCTCAGTTATCTAGTTAAATAGAAATTCTGCTTATTGGACATAGTACAGTTCAACCACAAAAATCTTCAGAAAAAATAAAACGATGGTAACTCCACAAATAATGTTGATATCTTTCCGGTTGTGACGTATCAAGCTCTACAGATATTGGTTAAAATTACTTCAGAAAATGAGTTTTTAAACAAACTTAGAAAGAATAGATACGGGTGGCCTTCACATTACCTTAATTTATTTCTAGTTTCATAAGACTTGTGACAACCATTTTCATAAGCCTTTCGTATACGCTAAGAATGTAATTCAGCCTATTATTTTTAAAAGTCGAATTCACAAATCGATTTAAGCTAGACCAATATTGGAAACCTTAATGCACTGGACGGCCGTTTCGTCCTAGTATGGGACTCCTCAGCAGTGTGCATCCACGATCCCGTACGCGGGGCTCGAACCAGGGACCTTTGGTCTCGCGCGTGAACGCTTAACCTTTAGACCACTGAGCTGGCGTCCAACAGTGTTAATGTCTAACTTCAATCGATCCATGATCGTGCGCAACCCTTCATCTATTTTCTGGGGTGAATAACTGTTTCACATCCGACATGGATTGGACAACATTGGTCATGGTTCATCACTAGAACCCCAGGAAATCCATTTTGAAGCTAGTCACTAGTGAGCACATGGTTGTTATCAAAATGGGGATTTGTAAAAATCGTAGTCTTTTTAACGGTTGAATTCACAAGGTTAAGCGTTCACGTGCATTCCCGATTGTCTTGGGTTCGAGTCCCGCCTTCAGGGTCGTGGATGCACACTGCTGAGAAGTCCCATACTAGGACGGAACGGCCGTCCAGTGCTTCAAGGTTTCCAATAGTGATCTAGCTTAAATCGATTCGTGAATTCAACTGTTAAAAATAATAGGCTGAATTATATTCTTAGCGTATACGAAAGGCTTATGGAAACAACTAGTTATAGTTTGTTAACATAGTAAACTTGATGAATAGTGGCTATGATAATGAATATCACTTCCAGTATTAGTTCCCTGAAGATTGCGAACTCTTTGATAATGAATATTTCTTATCGATTATATCCAACTACCTGATAATATCACTTACATTTATCTTTGCTATTATTATTATTAGATGTATTCAATATTAGGCTTTTGTTACATCATAGAATTTTCAGCACAAATTATCTCAACAAGTTTCCCATTTTTTATTCCTTGACCTATCTTGACGATAAACATTGAGTGATCACCAGTTAGATGTTATCAATTCAAGAACCAACATAAGAATAATGTATATTCTTTACAATCCACATTGCCAGCTACTATGATGTCTCTGATTGTATTTTTTTTTGTAACTTGTACAGTCAAAGTTTGTGAACTTTTCTTAAACGCACTTGAATAGGTTATGTAATTAATAGACATAATGATCTGTTAAAACAAAGAGAAAAAACAGACAATTCTTTGGAATATTTAGATGTCTAGAAAGAGTAGCTCAGATATTCAGTGAAAATTCATGTATCTTCTAATGAATCAATCAATTAGAATTCTATAGATTAACTTTTTATTCACTTATATGGTTTGTTTTATAAATTAACAATTACAGATGAATGGTGTAACAAATTACTATCATACTGCAAGTTTCTTAGATTTAACAAGTTCCAGTACATTATTTGTAAATAATTTCAAAATTATTGTTCCACAAAAATTTACTATACCAGAAAGACGTCTACATCGTTTTGTACCTGGATCACAGAAAGCTATTCTTAGTGTAGTTGGTAAGTTTACTATAATAATTAGTTTTTCATCAATATTCTAATTATTTTTTCATGTCCTGGTTATGTATATTACGTTCATTGATCAAAATTTTAATAGTTAATTAAATCATTTGTACTTATAATATATTGCATAATGAATTAGATTATCATCTGATTTAAATTGTGTTTTTTTTGTTCCCATTGGAATCTAATTTTAGCAGTTGAGATCATGAGTCAATTGGAGCTAGACCACCATGGAAAACCTGGAAGCACTGGACGGCCGTTTCGTCCTATTGTGGGACTCCTCAGCAGTGCGCATTCACGACCCCACTTCACGGGATTCGAACCCAGGACCTACCAGTTTTGCACCAGACGCTTAACCAACTAGACCACTGAGCCGGCATTCAATAGTGTTAATGTCTAACTTCAACTAATCCACGAAGTTGGGCGACACATCCAGCTTAGGAGCCCCACAATAGGACGAAACGGCCGTCCAGTGATTTCAGGTTTTCCTTGGTGGTCTAGCTTCAATGGACTCATGATCTCAACTGTTGAAATTACTACAATCTCCACAAAACTCCTTCTGATATCTAATTTTGATTGAAATTATGAATATGGATCATTGTTAGACCATCAGTAAAAACCTGGAAGCACTGAATGGCCGTTTCGTTTGATTTTGTCGTTTTAATTTATTGCTAAAAATTATGTATTCATTGAATTGGTTAATATATATATACCATAACTAATCTATATATCTTTGTAAATAAATTTAACTATTGGATCCATAATGTTGAAAGATTTATTTCTTGGATAAGAATATCACAGAAGATGAAGAAGAATAAGAAAAAGAAGAGAAATAAATAAAACTTGATGATCAATAAAAGAAAAACATGGGAATGTTAATGTCAGTCAATGCGCATACATACATCATAGTTGTGTAGTAAAGTGACCTTTAGAAAGACAGAGAGATTAATGAAAGGTTATCTCTTCACTTTTAAAACATATTTTATCTGTTATGTAAAAAAAATCAATGCAAATGACATGGGCTAATATTAATTATCGTATTTATTATACCGTAGTTTATCAGTATTGAAGAAAAGAAAATGAAGTAGTGTATATAAATATGACATTTTGTAAATAGATTCATTAACGCACATATTTTTCTTAAATTCTATCTAAAATCAGTAGGCAACTTTCGTCAGGTTTTTGTATTGTTTGTTTGAAGCTTCCCATTGATGTTCAGGGCTGCAATTGATCAGTTAGTCTCTTATTGACATATGTGCATCCTGTACGGATTGCCTCAATATTGCTTTAATTCACAAACATTATAAGCAAAGATTGATATTGGCTAACAGTGGAACTCAGGACACGCGTCTCGTTCTATTCTGAACTAGTCAGCTGAATGTACCTGCATCCTACATTTGATGTCCACTCAGGGACTCGAACCTAGTACCGTTCGCTTTAAACCTCATCGTGTTATTCACTTAACTACTGGGTTCAGATAGCCAGTAGCTTGTGCAATGTGGTGAAGTTTTCAATACATTTTTGTATTGGTTGTTTGAATCTTCCCACTGACGTTCAGGACTGCAATTGATCAGGCTCTTATTGACATATATGCATCCTGTAAGGATAGCCTCAATATTGCTTTGACTTACAAGCATTATAAGCACAGATGGAACCAATAAAAGACTAAACGACACTTGGTAGTTGTTTCATCAAAACCTTCAGGTTTTGTATCAGTTATATTGACTGTTGAGTCGGAATTTAATAATAATATCGTTCAGAAGAACAATAAAATTTCCATGACCAAACCATCTAGATCAGAGAACAAAACTCCTTCAAAATCATCCACTTGAGCTGCAAAATTCCATCATCTCAATTTACTCTTTCGTTATTTTTTCTTTAGGTGACTTTATCGGTCCAGCTTTAAGTGAGAAATTTCAATATGCTGATACACAAAATATTTTACGTCTACCTTTCGCAGCAGCAGAGAATATTTTCTTTGAATTAGGCTACAATATGAATTTGCTGCTTTATTTACACGGTGCTGGACACTTACCATATTCAGTATTGGAAAATGGATTAATTTATTGTTCTGTTGTATTACAAAAAGGATTTTCATATTTTAATCCGAAAATTGGTGCATTTTCTAATTTTAGAGATCGTTTAGATGAGTAAGTTATATTTATCATAATATATGACACTTATTTACTGAATGAGACTATAATTTATGAACGATATTTGAGTGACGGTAAAGTGATCTTGAGAATGTTCACCTACCTATTAAGGATAAATGAGGAATAATGATTATGATTTACAGTTGATGATTAGGTTAAGGAGTTATAGTTTAAGTTTTCACTACAAACTTACATCAGCTAAAATGTCAAAACCCTATTCAGTGAAATGGATGAATGAACTTTGCGCTAAAATCCAAGACCTGTTACCATAAATCTGATTGGTTCATCCATAAATTATAGTCTCGTCATTTATTATTATTATTAATGGCTTTATTCAATATTATATTTTGGTACAGTGTAGAATTCTCAGCACAATGTATTTCAACAAGTTTATTTTACAAGAAGGAAAAAAACAAAGATAAAAAGAAAAGAAAAAAGGTCTAAAAAAATCTGAAAAACTGTACAACTTTCCAAATTATAGACATGACTAGGTTAACAACTTGTTCGTCACAGTATATTTACTAGGTAAGGTATTATAAAACTTTTATACTTTTGCTTGCTTACATGGATTTCAATGTAATTTCGTCTCGTTCTACCAGAAGAAGATATACAAGGAGAAAGATAAGAGTGAAGGGGATGGTTAGTATCTAATAAAATAACACCAACCAGGAGTTTTCATGATTTTAGATGTCTATCCACAACGATATTAATTATGACATCGAAAGATTCAGCACACATCTTGCTAACTGCCTTCAGCATTCTTCACAATACAGCAAAGTGTTTTCTCAAAAGTTCGGGAAAAAATAATGGAGAACAGTAAAGAATAATAGGTGATATGCAAGAATTGACAAATTGTAAGAGTAAATGACGAGTAATCCCCAAAGCATACAATCTTTTTATGTAGTAAGTCAGACGGAAAACCTTCTTCGATAACAATAAAACGTGAGAAGACTAAGAGAGATCAGAGGAAAAGGTAACACCAAGATAATTGACCTTCGACACTGTGTTTATCAAAGAGTCTTCAATGGCACAAGCATTATGGGATCTCAAAGTGGTGTTTAGATACCGTTCATGTCTCATGTTAAAGTTAACAACTTGACATTTAGACGGATTGAGGATGAGACCATTAACAACAGACCAACAATCTATACGAGACAAAAACTCATTCATTTCTATGCGATGTAAAGAGGAAGAGATAGGCATACATACAGTGAGATCATCCCCATATTTCACAAAAGTGTTTACTGTGGAAGATGAACTTAATTCATTCACCAAGCTAGAACATTTTTAACTAGTCTTCCAATTAACTTAGTACAGTTAACTGAGAACAATGATACACTTGAATTGTTTGAGATATCATTGGTATATTTCTTTGTTTTCATCTTATATGAATAAGTTCAATCTTAGTTTATATTTCAACAAATGTGTAGGTGTAGTATTTCATCACTTAATATACCCTAGTTATTATTAGACTAATGATTTTCCATGTCAATTATTTTCATAAGCTCTATCTTGTTTTAATAGTATATGAAGGAAATCAGACGTTTTTTCCCTCTCTCTCTCTCTCTGAAAAGTTAGATTGAAATCACTATACGTAGTCATTCCCTAGTGTTTCTTATTAGGGTGCATTCAACGTATACACATCCATTCAACTATTCAATAAATATTAATCAATCATTTTTTCAAAGATTTGATTGGTCAGTACAATTTACACGTTTATAAAGCCATAGAAACTATTTGGTATCATTGTTACTATGATAATTACAATTGTTCATATAATTGTTAGAAAGATATCTTCTTGCCTATTTTGTAGAGAAGATTTATCTAAATAAAAATGTAAGCTAGAAAAACGATGGGTCACAAAATAATGACAATCAAATCATTGAAAATACCAAAAATTTAGTGTGTTTCAGTCGATGGGAAATACTTAATTGCTAGCGTCTTTTTTTCAACTAAGCATCCAATTAAAAAAGCAAGCAAAATGAGGGAACTGTGTGGTTTGAATATGAAATTCATAGAATTACTATAGAACCATTGAAATCATGAACTGATTCAAGTTAGATCAACATTGAAAACATTAGAGGGCCGTTTCGTCTTAACATGGGACTTCTTAACAATATGCATCTGCAACCCTGCATGCGGGAATTGAACTTACTGAATGCTTACTGACAATGAGACCATTATTTATATTTGATATTAACTAGACAAAACTCAGTTTTACAAAGGAACTGACTTATCATCAAATATATTTCTAAAAACTGTTATCTAAAATTTTGAAAGGTGAATGTTCGACATCAGAAAATTCATCTCTAAAACAAACATCTAAAATATTTCCAAATGCTCATTAATTAAATACGTAGTAAATACACATCCCCACTGAGTTACTAAGGGATGATGATTGCTCGTTCTTAGGAAAGTCATCTTTTGCGTAACATGATAAGTTTTGATTTCCCATGTAAACTTACTCCCATATTAGCCATTATTCTTATGTTAAGTTAACAAAAACTATCTGAAACTAAAGTAAATCTTTTTGAATTAGTACATTGATAAAACGGTTATCCAATGTTTATCATTGCAGAATTTCCCAACTTATTACTAACAAACAATATACCACAAACACTTACTTACTAACTTGAGCCTGTTACTCCTCGTGGAGGAGCATAGGCCGCCCATGTACCACAAATGACGTTTTTAAATTAAAGAGAAGAGTTCCTATGATAAACTCTACTGTTTAACTGAGCTACGAATGTATACACAACATTTAATCAACAAAAATTAACTGAAAACTATGTACAGATTTCTATTTGCTATTTAACCACACGTATTGCATGTTTCTGTTTACAAATGACCTAGATAGAGTTTTAGACAAATAATATATTTAGACCATTAGAAAATATCAGCATTAGCTTGAACTACAGTCTAGACATTTTTCCCAATATTTTTTTAAATGTCTAAACAACATTTTTTAAGCAAAGATGGATAGTGGCTATCAGTGGAATCGATTCGATAGGTTCTGGGTTCTAATCTCGCGGAGCGGGATCGTGGATGCACACTATTGACGAGTCCCATACTAGGACGAAACGGCCGTCCAGTGCTTCAAGTTTTCCAACAGTGGTCTTGCTTAGATCGATTTGTGAGTTCAACTATTAAAATTAGTAAAATCTCCAGAAAATCCCCTTCTGATATAAACTCTTAGGTTTTTGGCTTAAAAAGTCGTGAATACATGCTTACATTTGATTTAATGACATAATACTTTCTAGTTAACATGCTTAATTGATTAATTGAATAATAACCTATAAAAGTGTCACAGCAATTTCATCACACCTAAAATGAAATAAAACAATGCGAAATGTTCAAGCGACTATGAAATATGTCACAACCACTGTGATATTAGATACCTAATTTTAAACAGTAATTATCAAAGTATTGTTTAATAATGTTATCGAGTTTACTACAGTAAGATTAACGTATGCAACAATCTTCGATGCATTGGATATCGTCATAAGAGAAAATGACAATTACGATATTTTCAGTGTGTAGTCGTGCAAATCATTGAATTTCATCAAAATTGAAAACCAATATAAGTTAGATCAACATTGAAAACCTAGAAACAATAGACGGCCGTTTCTTTCTATTATGAAATCCGTCGGCAGAATCCATGTACAAATCCACACGTCCTTTATGCGGTGTTAATGTCTAACCTCAGTGATTCAGTAGCCTGGAGGTTACGTGTTCGCGAGAGTGATCGAATATCTTTATTTGAATTCCTGCGTCCAGGGATTGTTGATGCGCACTGCTGAAGAGTCCCATATTGAGACACACGTCCAATGGTTTAAGGTTTTCAGTGTTGGTCTAACTTGGATCGGTACATGATTTCCACGAAATAATGGTATTATTGATCTTTCGATTTTCAGAGGAAGATATGAACTAACTCATTGTTACCGTAGATAAGATCAGTCTATATAATGTACTTGAGATTCATTAACCAACTACAGCTCAATGCTTAAAAGAATCAGGAAAATTTACACCTCAAGTGGGATATCTTAGTTGATATTTTGTTCTCGTAGTTGGTTGGAAGAGACTATAATTTATGGACGAACCAATCAGGCATAAGATAACAGCTCCGATTTTGGCGCGAAATTCATTCATTCATTCGGATAAATAGAGTTTTGGCATTGTAGCTTATGTCAGTCGGTGATGAATACCTTAAATCTAATTCCTAACCTTAACCATCAACTGTAAATCATAATTTAAATTTCTCACACTGGTTTATAACACTCATTTGATTCTAGTTATTAGGTGAGCACTCTCAAAGTCACTTTAGCGTCACTCAAATATCGTCCATAAATTATAGTCTTACCGTTGGTTATGGTTTCATTACAAAATTTTCATTGTCGTTCTAAACTACATTGTAAGCGTTTGCTTCACCTAAAATTCGATGGAAATGTTTCATTTACTCCGTTTTGAAAAATGTTATTTATTATATTTGAGCCGATTTTTCTTGTCTTAGTGCTAAAATCGAAGCATTGGAATCAGAAATTTAAACTCATAACACGGTAGTTAAAATTTCAAAGACTTTAACCAAAAAAACCTACTAATGCCTTATTTTCCTACACGATTTCACTAAACAACGCACTACAGTAATTTCTTTTTCTGTCATAAACAAGTAACACAATTAATTTAAACGATAATTTATGTATTGTAAAATGATTGGATAAGACTATGACTTATGAACAATCTTAGAACGAAGCTAAAGTGACCATGAGAAAGTTTACTTACCTACTGGGATCAAAAGAGAGAGTTATCAATTAGTGTGATGAATTAGGATTAGAATTTGAAGTTACAATTTTCATCACGAACTTACGTATAAATACAATCTGTTAACTTAACACTTCGTTTAACACCACATGTCTCTTACACACTAATATAAATACCTACTTTAAACATAGTTAACGTTGATTGAATGACTTATTGAGTATACAGTAAACTAGAGAACCATGTACTTATTTATATTCGATAATTTTGATGTTTGATTATATTTTCCTTGAAAAAGCTTGGATCAGATTGCCAGATGAAACGTTGAATTTACTTCAAATTCTTTCACTGAGGTTTTACAAATACAACATTTTTCCTCTTTAATATCTCATATTACCTTGGCAACTAAATACTATGAAACTATTCAATCAAATTTAGACGAAAGTTCTGATTGAACTAATATCGATTTTAAATACGAAAAATTTTATTTAACCAATATAAATGAATGAATTTCACGCTAAAATTTAATACTTCTTATCTTTAATTTATCCATCCATAATTCATAGTCTTGCCAACAACGAAAATTTCAAGTTTTAGATATATGTACATGTTAGTTACCATAGGTTTTTACTAATATAATATTACCGGATTAGTAATAGTTTTAAAGTGGAACACATAGTCTCTTTTTTTTCCCATCTTTGTCATTTGTCATACAAGATTCTGTTGTTTTAGGGAGAAAAATTGCATACAATAGTTCAGTTCAGTTTATCTTTTGTTTTTCTTTCTTTCTCCCTTTTTTTTCTTCTTTAAATCAATATTTAGTGGGTAAGACTAACTTTCTTTCACATGTTACTAGTATACATATCTGTATTTATTGATTTGTAAATGCCGGTACAAATTAATGTCTAGTTAAATATTTTCAATTGTTCAAGGTCATTATTATTACCTGTTACAAATTTGATGAACTTGGATTATTGTTTTATGAACCATTTTTCACCTCGATTCACAGGTTAAGATTATGCATATTACTGATGACGAGTATAGTGTTATATTAGGACAAAGGGATGAAATTTTTAAATCTTAATCTCAGGGTAGTAGAGGTAGTAACAGAATTAGTATTGATAGAAAGGATAAGGTATCGAAGATATCATTTAAAAAGAAAATATAAATTAACGAAATAAAAATATTATTGGTTTTTCACAAACTTATGGTTTAAGATAAGATAAATAGCAAATGTACCTACGCTATTGCAAACGATTTCATTTAAGATGTCTAATCATTGATTACGATAATTTCAACAACAACTCTACACTTACATGACTCAGATCAATTGTCAGTAACTTCATAGGTTGCTGTCATGTTTTAGTTTGTCTGCCCTTAGCTTTCTTCCAGCCTACTTCTACACTAGACAATATCGGCCATCAAAGTAGGCGGTGGTTGTACATATATAACACATTTACTATCTGATCGATCGATCAATCAATCATCAGAAAAGGCCGAAGACATTTGATCCAATTATCTTTTGCAAGAACATATCAGAATTATGACATGAAGCTCCCGATTGAACAAATGCTAAAAGCCACTGTAGTAATTATGTTCCCATTTTGTTTAACGTTAAGGATAAACGCAACTGATGTTTATGAAAATTCTGACATTTTATTTATCTACACAATATTTCATTAAGAAATGATAAAAGTGCCGGTCTATAAGTTTATCTTCCTTCTTTCATGTCTACCTTTACACAAATTTATCTATACGGATATTTGTGGTACTTTCAAGGTTGAATTCATGAGTCGATATAAGCTAGATCACCATTAGAAACCTGTAAACACTAGATGACCGTTTCGTCCTATTATTAGGACTCCTCAACAGTGCACGAGACAGAAAGTCCTAGGTTCGAGTAGTGCATGAGGGATCTTAAATTCGCACTGCTGAGAAGTCACATAATAAGACGAAACGGCTGTTCAATGTTTCCAAGTTTTCAATAGTGTTCTTCTAACCAAAATCAATCCATAATGTAAACTATTAAAAAAATTAATTCGTTTCCGCTTTTTTCTTTCTTTCATCTCTAGAACTGACCCACTAGTTACAGCCATTGCATTATGGAGTTTATTATTAACAAGACAAACTCAATGGAATCGTTTAATTTACGTAGATGATAATACATTTGTTAGTATTATTAATTATTTAAAACAAACACAACAATTCAGTTCATATGATACTGATATAAATAATCAAACAATAGTTGATATTCGATTATCTGGTAGTTGGAATATTTCTAATGTTATAGATAGACGATTTTCTCCTATAATTAATAAAACTAAATGGCCTGATTTAATTGATCAAGAATGTCATCGTCGAATACCATCAACAGCTATGGTTATTATTGCATTACGTTCAACTGAACGTACTTTACCTAGTGGAGTTGGTGCAGATAAAGCTGAAAGAATTGTTTCTGAAGCTGTTAAATTTCTTAGTCGACATATATTAAATGTTGATGATTTATTTTCACAAATGATTGGTACATATGCTTTGAAAGTTGCTGTGGATGCAACATCACAACATAAAATATCACAGTAAGTATTAGATACTTTTCTGTTTAGATAATTTTATTGTATGTGATCAGTATCTTTTTTTTTTCAAAATTGATATGTATATTGTAATGTTTCGTTAGATTCTAAGTTTTCTCTGAATAAAATCCAGTGACTCTGGTCTTTTGTGCAATTCACTCATATAAGTGGAGATGGGTGATGGCTAACAGTGTAGTTCAGGACGCGCGTTCCATCTTATTTGAGACTTATCAGCTGGATGTACTTGCATCCCAGAGTTAATGTTCACCTCGGGACTCGAACACATTACCGTTCGCTTCAAACGCTATCCACTCAGATGCTTGTACAATGGGTTGAATTCTAATTTTGATTCATGTGTGTATTGGTTTCTTGAATCTTCTCATCAATGTTTAGGACTGCAATTGATCAGTCTCTTATCGACATATGTGCTTTCTGCATGAATTGCCTCGATATAGCCTTCAGTCACAAGCATTATAAGCTGAGATGGTGATGATGGCTAGCAGCGGAATCCAGGACACATGCGTCCTACTTGTCAGCTAGATATAACTGCATCCCAGAGTTGCTTATGACTGAAGGCAATATCGAGACAATTCGCACATGATCCACACATACTAATAAAAGAATGATCAATTGCAGTCCTAAACATCAATGAGGAAGATTCAAGCAACCAATACAAAAAGGAATTATTATTATCGAAGTACGTTTACTGTTTTTTTTTCCAGTGCATTGAAACGAATTGAAGCATTTCGTCAAAAAGGTGATTATGTCTACTATGCTAATTATAGAATACCTCCACCAAAATGGGAATTAGATCAAGCTGGTAGACGTATTGAAAATCCTCGTTTAGAAATGCCTAATGATGGTTATGGTGTTTTATGTTCAAGTATTTATTTCTTGTTAAAACATGAATTAGGTGAATGGTCATTTCGTTCATCTGAGGCATTAGATATGGTTCATTGGTTAGCTAGTGAACGAAATCATGTCGCTGGATTTGCAAGTACTTTTGTAAGTTAAAATTTAAAAAGGGTTTTTATTAAATTTTATTGAAATTGAATAATCTGTCAATTTGTTAGGATCTTCTATAACCTATGTATTCCGGAATATGTGTTTTGACCATCAAGGTCTCTTGGAGTTATAAGTTTACTTTTTGATAATGAATACCTTATCGAGTGATAGACAGAGTCATGTAGATATGTCTAGAATACCTATTTGGGGTCTGCGCGACCAATGGTTAACAACTTCAAATCGTATGATTCAGAATCCTTCGCGATGGCGCATGTGCGATTACTCTATATCTTTTCTTTAGTTGTTGAATCTCGAAATCGCCTTACATCTTTTTTGCTTTCTTTCACTAGTCTTTTATACTACTAGTAGTACTGATACTGTTACTACCTCTACTACTCCAAAATTTGTCTTGATAATTTTTATCTTACTGTGCGAGTGGAGTGTGGCAACTTAAGCTGATGCACATATATGTCAGGTTCTCTGTTGAATATAACTGACTGACTTCAATAGATAAAAAATAATTTTAACTCTTCCTACCAGTCCTCTTCGACCATTCGAAATTAGTTTTTGTGAAACTTATGTATTTCGCTTACATAACTTAAAAACAGAATGTCGTTAGTTGGCTCGCTTCAAATACCTCTTCTAACTTACTTTTCCTATCAAGCTCAACTTGGTGAGACTATAATTTATGGACGAACCAATCAGGTATAAGATAACAGCTCTCGGATTTTGGCGCGAAATTCACTCATTCATTCGGATAAATAGAGTTTTGGCATTATAGCTGATGTCAGTTCGTGATGAACACCCTAAATCTAATTCCTAACCTTAACCATCATCTGTAAATTATAATTCCGATTGCTCACATGGGTTTATAACCCTTATTCGGTCATTGTTATTAGGTGGACACTCCGAAGGTCAGTCTGGAGTCGCTCAAATGTCGTCCATAAATTATAGTCTCACCCTCAAGGCCTACCAGTCTCATTGTGATCAAAAGATCACTGACTTCTCTGTAAATAGAACTTAAATTCGATCGTTTTCTAATATTTTTTTATGATTATGGTCAAACTTAATTTATCTATTGGAACCAATTGGGATTTGTCCAATATTCAATTCGTAACTTGACAATAAATCAGCTATCATTCTTGAAAAGTATTCATGATGAAATAATTAATTGTACAATGGATAATATATGCCTTTATTCCATTAGAAAAATGTCCTCTTTCATACCATCTATGTACCATTATGTAAGAATATATTCTAAGAATTTTAAATTGTTAGCGACTGTTTCTTACATTAAGTTAAAGTATTTTAATACAACTACTATAATCACTGAGTTTTTTTTATGTTCCAACTTCATGACTTAACAGAAACATATGACATTAAACTGAAATTATGATCGATTTTAATGATTAGATTGTAGAAATATGTAAGTAAATTTAGTTTCGAGAGGTAATTCTCGGAATTAGGGTAAGAAACCGTAATCAGTGAAGTTCAAACGTGCTGAGTGTGAGGCATTTACCCACCAACGACAATGAAAGATGGTTGCGCAATATCATGAATTGGTTAAAATTAGACATTAACATCGTTGGATCGCGGCTCAGTGGTCTAGAGGTTAAGCGTTTACACACGAAACCGAAGGTCCCAGGTCCAAATCCTGCATGCGCGATCGTGGATGCGCACTCCTCAGGAGTTTCGTACTAGGACGAATCGGTCGTTCAGTAATTTCAGGTTTCCAATGGTAGTCTAACTGATCAATTAATGATTTCAATTCAAACTCAACAATCCCCACAACCCTATGATGAAAATTACTTTCATCTAAAGACGAATTCAATATTGAAATTCATCGGTATTAAAGAATAGTAAATAGAGCTGAACTTTTCTTTTAATGATCAGTAGATATTTTCAGTTTGTAACCATTCAATAAAATACCTTAAAGTAAGAAGTCATAATTACTGGATTTTATTGATATTTGTATCTGTAACTTTAGGGGAACTTACTATGGTTTTAATATTTGAATGTACATACCCTATTTACCACATCTATTCATGTAACGAATGTTTCCTTCTCAAATCAACAGCAGTTCTTTTCCTTGTTGTATCCCATTCTATATCTCTCTTGCCATCAGCTTATTGATTTGTAAATGTTATATAATCAGTGATCAAAATAATCCACTACTTACCGGTACTTTCCAAAAGAACTCAGTTATAACTAGATTAGATCACTGGCTTATAGAAATTTGGTTTAAATTTAAAAAAGCATGAGTTTTACAAATACAAGAACAATTCAACTACTTAATTCAGACTTTATTCAAATATTTAAAAATAAACGTAAACTTTTATTGGTCTCATATGGTTGTGAACGAAGTCTCTACAGGAAAATTACATAATGATTTGGTAAACTAAATACATCATTTACACATCTCCCATCAGTTCTTCTTTAACTACTCTATTATTCCTCTAATTCTGTTGGTATATTGATTCCATTTCGATTTTCTTTCTGTTCTCTTCAATTCAGTTTACTGATGTCAAGTATTCCACACCTGACTGGAGATACATATTACTTATAACTGTTAGTATAAGCAGCATACACCACAATATTATCTGTGTTAATGTTTGAAAACTTTTTCTTATTTGATAGGCTTTAAATTAATTTAATCTACTGAATTTTCTTTTCTTTCTGTCGAATAGGATTCACTTTTCGCAATGCATGCATTAAGAAAATTTGCATTGGCTGATACAAATCGTGCTTTATATAGAATGGCTATAGATGAGAAAATTTCTTCGATGAGTTCATGGACAAATCGTATTTACATAGATACTCACAATTATTCAACTGTTACGCATACAACGGTATTTATGTTGTTTTGTTTTTCCCATTTATACTTTAGTTTGATTGGAAATAGTTGATCCTTTTTTATTGAAATTTGCAATAATACAATTGTGGTGCATGCTACTTATACTGACAGATATAAGTAGTACGTAGCACCAATTGGAAGTGGAACACTTGACAGCACAGATGTCTTAGAAATATAGCTCACATCTGCTGGGATCACCGGGTAAGTAATAGTGAGGTTAAACACAGGATATTAGGGAATGATGGTAAATCAGTTAATGAAGTTGTAAGTCTTTATCGACTGAGACGGTTGGGCTACGTGTTACGTATGCCTGAACACCATTTATCGCGACGGGCAATGTTGACTAGTGTTAGAGATGGATGGAAGAAAGTTAGGGGCTGCACCAGTCCTTGAAGTCGCTAACTTCTGGTCTGAGCCATGTTGGTAGATGCAGACTACTTAGTTGGGGTCCCCGTGACTATCTTAGCTAATGGTTGGAGACTGTGTGACATGGCCCGGAATAGAACATAATGGCATAGGTGCATACACTCTTTGTCTTCCTTTAAACCGTGAGATTAAAATTACTTTATATCTTTCCAATTCTTTCTTCCTGTATTATGTTTTTATACACAACCTTTCTTTTATACATTATCCCCATTGAAGTGACTACTTCTATGAGTTTAATGTTCTTCATCTTGTTGTGCTAATGAGGTATAACAACTTTGACAGATGCATATATGTGCCTAGTCTTACGTTGTAGCTGACTGACTGACTAACTGAAGAACTATTGTTATCTTAAAGAGTTTGAAATAAGGAAATCGAATAAATAATAAAATAAATAAATTTTACAAATAACTTCAACATAGGTATGTGGATTATTTCAGTGTTCAGTGTTAACATCTAACCGTTATATATTGGTAAATATTTGCATACTTTTTCATATGTTGGCGTAGTAGTAATTCTAATGAGTTTTTCTTTCAAAACGATAGAAACGCATATCAATGTTACAAAAACCTATAGATAAGTATCCAATAAATTGACAAAGCTAAATTTTGTTGTTACGCATGAGATTCGATTCTAGCCGTAGCAGCGTAGAACTTCATAGGTACATACATCGGTTCAAGTTTTCATACTCCATTAGCGCAGTAATTTGAAGTTTTCATAGTAAATCCCAGAATAGTAGAGGTATTAATAGTATGAATGATAGCAAAAAAGATTAAACATCGAAAATACAATTTGAGAAGAAAATATAAATTAAAAAATAAACACTGAAAAAATGTTATAAGGAATTTAGAATCTGAGAACAATGTATGTACCTGCGCAATTGGAAACAGTTTTGAGCCATTTTCTATTATAAGTCTCTAACTAATGACTTCTATAATTACGCGGACTCCAACTAAGTGTTCTACATGTATTCACAAGTAAACGATGAAAAATAACTGAGAAGAAAAACAGAACTTAATTATTAGGTGGTGAATATTTGTAGCTCAGGTGGATGATTTTGATGGAGTTTTGTTCTCTGAGCTGAATGGTTTTGTTGTGTTTGATATTTCTAATCCCTTTCGGAGTAGGTGTTCTATGTTTGTTTTGACAGTTTGACCACACAGCTGTTTGTGTTTTCTGGCATGGTTGGTTTTGAGATCTTGATTAATTTCCTCTTCAGGGCGTTTCTTCTTTGTCCTTTGTATCGTTTGCATGATATTTCTATGACTGTTGTCAAGATTTCCAAATGTTCTGATGTGAGTATCCTTTGTAGCTTCATCTTTTGTTTCTCTATGACGCGTTGGTATTTGCGGATCCTGTGATATGCATTCGTTATTGTTAGGTGTACCATATTTCTTCCACTTTTCTCAGCTATTCTCCATCCCAATGGTCAATTGATTGGAGGTCTTTGTCTATCACTTGTTGGTAGAACATACTGACGAAGACACTCGTGAAGAAAATACAGTTGTTTTCGAGTGGAAGCCAAATCAAGGCGCAAAATGTCATCGGTTTTTTAGGTATAAATACTCTTGATAAACTTTGAACTGTTGCCGAAAAAAATCTTTTACAGTATGGCTTCATTGTATTATGATGGATGCAGAACTTGAAACTTTTCAATTATCCTATTACCAACATGATTATTTAACACTTACAATTTAGTACAGTACTACTGATAGAAGGCAAAAATCAATGAGAGGTTTTTTTGTGGTTTTCAATTTCAATCCTTAATTATTTTTCTTCGTCCTTTTATAAATTATGTTATTGTAATTGAATATTTTACTTTTGAATCATATTTTTAATTGTATATTCGGTGAGTTGATCACTGAGTCTACCTGGAAAAATCTATTCTGTCAGGATTTAAGTGTTGGTTGGCTATAGTGACACTTGAGGAGGAAGCCAAAAGAGGAAGTTTGGTATTGAAAATCGACGTAGAAGGAATAACAGGAATTGAAGAGAGAAGTTGATTATGAATACAGTGGTCTTGAGTGCTGTTGGAAGTATGAGGGCGGTTATCACTTCCTGGTTGCCCACACTGTGGAAGAGTTCTTCCGCCTGAAAAGGAAATTAGGTTAGGGGTAGCCTTAGTGACCTGAGAGTGTGACCGCAATGCCCAAGGGACAACTGCTTGAGGTCAGTCACACACAACCATTCTGTGGGTAATTTTCGTGTTAGCTCCCTACCTGTTGAAACCTTACCGACCTCTTAAAACCCCACCCCTCCATGTTATGCTGGTTGTCTGAAGGAAACAGCTTACTGTCGTCACACCTCTGTACAGTCAGCAGTACGACTTTGCCCTCAGACCTTGGGTTCGCTGCTTTTAGCCTTACCACTCTTCAGCCGGCCTGTTTAACATGGTAGGACCTTGAGGAACGATTGTTCCAGCCAGTATAGCCTGATCGGTTCATTACGATAGTCAAGCCCGACCACCACGTCAAGGTGATGTTGATTACATGAAGAAATTACTCGTTTGACAATATCAGTTATTTTATTAGTCTCACTAGTCATTTACATAAATACGAAAAAAAAAATTTATTGTTCAGTAATCGGAAAACATCCGCCAATCATAAATAGAAAAATTGAAGAAGAAATTTGAACAAAACAGTTATTCAATCCTTCTTTTCCTTTTTCAGTAGTATCATTAATTCATCCTATTAAAACAAAAATATATCCAATTTATTTCAAATATTATTCCATCTTATTCCGTTTGTTTTCTTTTTCTTTTTCTTGTACATCAGTTCCCATCAGATAATGTATGGGGTGATATTACAATGAAATTAGAAGGTACTGGACGTGTTCTATTACAATTAGATGCAGAAGTCAATGTAGAATATAAAGAAATGCAAAAAATGCCTAAAAATCCATTAGATACAGAACAAGTATTTAGAAGTTTTGAAATTGAATGTACACCTGGTTTTTTAAGTCGTAATAATTCTATTATGATTATGACTGCATGTGGAAGATGGGTTGGAACTACGGTAAATTTAATAAACCTTCATATTATTTAAAACAATTAGCCCCTTTGATAAATTTCGATAATGTAATAAGAAGACGAAGATTATCAGAACTATGTGATGATATATTAGCGCAATACATTTCGAACAATCTGGTCACACATATACTTGTTAATGATAAATGCTCCAGTCTAGTTGACCTTTTAATTTTTCATATATAAATGTTCTTAACAAGTATATTACGTGTGATCAGGTTGTTCGAAATGTATTGCGCTAATATATCATCACATAGTTCTGATAATCTTCGTCTTCTAATATCATTATCGAACTTCATATTATTGTCATGTTATTAATTGGGGGGGGGCGGGATTATTCTTTACCGCTGAATATATTTTCCAGGCTCTTATAAGTGGACGGTGATTGTTTATTCATTCGATTAAATGTAATAATTAAAATAGTAAGAATATATGTATGATATAGAAAAATAAGTCATCTATATTTAAAGATTGTTAGATGGGAAATGATTATCTTTTTTTTTAATATATTCGATTATTTGTGACTAGTATTCGAAGTTATGGGTAATTGAAATAGAGATGCTTTCTAAGGGACTCTCCTGGCAGCCTACTTGAATATCTAGGCTGCATGTTCCTGACATCTAGATATTTCAATAAATTATATACTTTCTGTTTGTTTTAACACATCATTATGTCTATTAATTACATAACCTATTCAGGCGTGTCTATGAAAATTTTACAACTTTTCATTGTACAAGTTACGAAAAAATTACGATCAGAGACATCGTAGTGGCTAAAAATATACATCGAAAAGAATATGCATTATTCAGATGTCGATTCTTGAATTGTTAACATCTAACTAGCGGGCCACTCAATGTTTATCGTCAGGATCGATCAAGAAATGGGACACTTGTTGAGATACTTTGTGCTGGGAATTCTATATTGTATCAAAAACATAATATTGAATAAAGCCATTAATAATAGTACTAAATACAAATTAATAATTCACTATTTGACGATGATAAATAAATTATAACTTAAGAATGATTATAGAATTCATGCTAATTTATTACAGGCATAATCAGTTTGATACAGAAAACAACATTCAGTCATTAACAACGTAGAACTTCGTACGTACGTACGTACATCAGTTCGAGTTGCCATACCACATTAGCACAGGGGTACAATTTTCTATTCAAATCCCATAATGGTAGAGGTAGTAAAAGTATAAGCGGTAATCGGAAACATTAGGGTTTGAAGATGTTAGTCAAAGAGTATAATCCAGTGAAATAAATTTGGAGAGAGAGTAGAGATAAATAATTGAGAAGATTAGAATTTGGGAGAACACAAAGAGTGGATTCACCGGCGCCATTGCAAACGATTTTGAACCATGTTATTCAAGGTCTCTAACCATCGGTTGCTATCGTCTCGCGGTCCCCAACCAGGTAGTCTACACCTACCAACATGGCTCAGTCCACTTGTCAGTGACTTCATGGATTTGTGCCGTGTTTTGGTCTAACCGCCCCTAGCTTTCTTTTAACTTACTCCTACACCATAAGACATCCCACATCGAGGCATTCGGTGGTGGGAATATGTAACATATATCCCAGCCATCTCAACTGATGAAGTTTCACTACTTCAATTGATTTGCCATCCTTACCTAGTACTCGTTTCCTAACAACTGCAATACTTACTCGGTGGTCTCAGGATATGCGATCAATGCTTCGAAGACACCTATGATCAAATACTAGTAGCTTACGAATATGCTCTACTCTTACCGGCCATGTTTCATTGCCATAAAGTAGGACGGAACGAACTGCTGCGCAGTAAACCCGTCCTTTGATAGACCGCACTAACCCAGAAAACAACATTATATTTAAAGGATAGAGATATGAGGTTAAATTATTGGAAATGATGTGGTTTGTAAATTGTTTAGAAATAGCATTTATCATAAACTTTAATGCAATGTTTGGCAGGATTTGGGAACCATCAGTTCATAATAGGGGGGAGGCTATGATTTTCTGTAAATATATAATTAGTATACCGAGAATTATTTCCGCTGATATTACAGAGTAATTGTAGTCATCTACAGCTAGAAAAAATATATATAAACAGGGAGGACGTAATAATAACATTAAAAGTTAATGTGATAGCTTAAATAAGTGTCAAGTTCTTCTATGATTAACTAATGACAATGTGAGTGTTAAAATATCTGCAAGAAAGTAAAGTGGTTAAGTATGCTCACTAATAACAATATTTAAACATTTAATGTTCCAATAACGGAACGAGTTACAGTTAAGGCGTAAGTACCTTCAAGGCTGTTTCAAAGAAGTGAATATCGATTAAGTGATTTTACTTCACCAACAGATTGCAGCAAATTATTCTAGTGTCTCGAAAATTTACTCGTAAAATAATTTATATAAAGAGAAGGTTTAGAATGAGACAGTTTCATAATTGAGAGAGAGTTAAACAAGTGTTATAATTGTCTTTACTTATTTGTTTGCATCAGAGGATGTAAAAGATGTTTTATTTAGTATTTTGAAGAGGATTAAGTTTAGTTTAAACCTACGCTTCTACAAAAGGTCGAGTCCATGTTTAATTCATTAGTATTTCTAGTTTAAGGTAAAATAATTCCAAGGAATACTTGATGTGAATTGTCGCTCGACGGATTCCGGTATCATTTTATTCTTTATGCGAACAGTGATCAGAATGCAAACGAAATATACGAGGAGTGGATGAACACATACTTTTTATATCAAAATATGTGAATCATTTTTATAGAGGTTACGAAGTATACAGCGCAGAAGGCGTTGAGACTTGTAAGTTTGTTTTAAGACCTGTTCTGAGAAGGGCAAATTATGTGAATACCTGATTCCCAAATCCACCATTTTATGAAATCTAGATAACACCCTATCATTTATACTGAAGTCTACGTTGAGGAAAAAAACTACCCAAGTAATGCCATACAAATTTAGTGGTGCCAAGTTTCAAACTCCATTTTGAGAAAAACTGGGTGACCTAATTGAGCTACATACTGATACAGTCTCCCATATGGTTCAGCTCAGGAAAAAGAATAAACCACTTAAATATCATCCGCACACAAATCAGAGATTGCCAACTAGATGTTATCGTTTGTTTACGCTTTAAATTGCAAAGATCCTAGGACACTAACTTATATTACCCCATTTGTGATTGGAATGGATGCTGGTAAGGAGGAGTTTATTTTAGCTATTTGGTATCAGTGAATGAGAAAAAAATCAAGAAAAGTAACGTCGTTTTTCTGTTCGGTTGGCTAGTTCTACTAGAATTAAAGAGAATTTATCTCTCCTTGAATATATAAAACAGTGATCAAGATTTTAGAGAACACGAGAATAAAGATTTGATTAAAATAATTCTCATCACACCTTTGCTTTTACTCTCTTCAAAGACGATGAAGGAAACTTAATGCATAAAGCTTCAAGATGTACATAGTTTTTGACATTATGTAATCTGAATGTACCTGATTCAGTCCTTCGTGTAGTCACGTATAACTTTAACATACTGACTTTATTCTTTATTAGTCTAAGACTATGAAAAATAGAAAACCATCCAGTATCATTGTTTACCTTGAGTTTTTATATTATCTTAAAAAGATTCTATGTAGTTGCCAAACAGATTCAAATTAATTTCTTTTAAAAATTTATTTTATATTAAACTTTTGTATTTCATCTAAAGGGTATTGAACCATTACCTCAAAGTGGGATGGCTGTATTTGAAATTGGACTACCAACAGGTTTCATAGTTTTAAATGATGATCTAAGACGATATGTAAATAGTCTTATGGTTCCAAATCTACGCTATGCACGTGCCAATTCTAGATATGTACATTTCTTTTTTGATACAGTAAGTAATGAATTCATAAACTAGATGTTAATTAAAACTTTCGGTGTGACTATAATCTATGGACGATCTTTGAGTGACGCTAAAGTGATCTTGGAAACGTTTACCTACCTACTAAGGATAAATTAAGGTTATAAACCAGTGTGAAGAGAAAGGATTATGATTTACAATCGATGGTTAGGGTAAGGAATTAGATTTATGGTTATAAACCAGCGTGAGGAATTAAGAATATGATTTACAGTTATTGGTTAGGGTTGGGAATGAGATTTAGAGTTTTCATCACGAACTGACATCAGCTACAATGCTAAAACTCTATTTAGCCAAATGGATGAATGAATTTCGAGCCAAAATCCAAAACCCGTTATCCTAAATCTGACTAGTTCATCCGTAAATTATAGTTTCGCCATATTTTCTTATTCAATAGAATCCTCAGTAATGGAAGTTTTCAATTAATTTATTTGATTATTGAATACTTGTAGTTGAAATTAAATGATACAAATACTTTTTTCCCGCCAAACTAACTATTCCAGAGAATATGTATATGACAGACTTGGAAACGATTATTCATTTCTATATTCATGTTGATAATAACTTTCCATGAAATTTATTATAATGGTTATTAATAACTCAATACATTTAGAAAAGCCTATAACTTTGTGTATGATGTTATGCGATTTAAGAGCAGTCGGTGGTTTTATGTATCTGATTATCAGTAGTATCATTTGATAAACCAGTTACTTTATTCATTTTTGTATTGTTGTTTTTGTGAACCTTCCGATTGATGTTTAGGACTGCAATTGATTAGTCTCTTATTGGGATATGTATATCCTATGCGGATTGCCTCGGTATAGCCTTAAGTCACAAGCATTCCAAGCAGAGATAGACGATGGCTAGTAGTGGAATCCAGGACGCGTATTTCGTCCTATTTGGGCTCTTCAACTGGATGTACCTTCATTCAAGATCTGATGTTCACATATGCCACATATTTACATATGCTCAATTGCAGTCTTAAACATCGATAGGAAGACTGAAACAAACAATACAATATGAATTTAAACTTAACCTGATTGTACAAGCTAGTGGCTATCTAAACCCAGTAGCTACGTGGATGACGCGATGGTATTCGAAGTGAACAGTACTGGGTTTGAGTTCCTCAGTGAACGTCAACTTTGGGATGCAGGCACATCAAGCTGACTAGTTCGGAATAGAACGAAACGCGCGTCCTGAATTCCACTGCTAGCCATTATCCAGTTAATTCATCAGCTGGAACTGTTTAAGAATATGAGATACTTTTAATAAATAAATCTGATGGTAAGAAGTTGAATTCATCGTTGTTTATTGCGTATAGTATTTCTTGTATTACTGTAACATTTAATTAATTTCATGTGAAGATGAAAATTGAGTATGATATGAATAGTCTAGTAATATTTGTTAAAAAGAAAATTAAAATATGCTAAAAGTAATAAAATTTACAAAGATCTTGACACTTAAACTCTATAGTCTTCTAGATGTTCATTAAGGTAAATCAGCAGTATGATCAAATCTCGGTATAACTAGTTTTGGCATTAAAATGAATAGGATAAGTTGTTAGAGATCTATTTCAATTGCTTATGGCTCTCAAATGTCTGACTTCAATTGGATCGGCCGAATGATTGCTGTCGACTTAAATCGCATACACGTATATTTCGTACAGTAATCCAAACAAACGACCAATGAAACGAAGTGATGTACGATGGAAAAGACACATGAGTCAACTCGATTTAACCAAGCGTGAATCGATATTTATGGTCAGACAAAATTAAGTTACAGACATATGATGAGTAAGATAAGAAATGCACACACATAAGCTTACATAAAAACAGTCAAGATTAATAAAGCAAATAAGTGACAGGGTAAAAGTATGAATCTAAAAGAACTAATAAATTAGTCTGTCTGAAAGCTAGAATAAGCTATGTGGGCTTGACATAGCAACCGACACTACAGATTCATTTATCTTAAACCTGGTAGGCTTGAAACAAATTATTAACTTCGGTCTCGCAAATCTCTATGATAGCATAAAATTTTCATATCACGATGATATATGTATATATATACCATCTTAGTACCCTAGATACTGTATGAAATCTACGTTAAGATTGTCTATCTAACTGATTTCAGTAAATCAGAAATTTCACCATCTTTATTTTTTTTAACTTATATATCAGATTACACCGGATAAAACATGCGTACAATTTACAGCTGAACGTTATTATCCAGTGGCGAATATAACACAGCAGCACAGATGCTCAGCTTATGAATATTATGAACCAGGTAAATGGGTAATGTTTTTGTTGTTCTTGTCCGAAATTGAATAGCGAATACTCGATTTTCTTACCTTGAGTTCAGTATTTCTTTAGACAGCTTAGTTTATGGAGATCACCAATCGATCTAAGTTGGAAATCCATCGAGAACTTTCTAGTGAGAAACCGTGATTAACTGTGTCGGGTGTGACAAAGGTACCCACCGAAGACGATGGAAGACAGTTGCCTGTTATCACGGATTGACTGAAGTTAGACTTGTACATAATTGGATCCCCCGTGGCAGGATCATGAGTGTGCATTCCTGGAGAGTCCCATGCTAAGATGAAACAGCTATCCAGTGCTTACAGGTTTTCAATGCTTGTCTAACTTGGATATGTGCTTGATCTCGATCAAATTCAAAAATCGGCACAAAATCCATACTGAAGAAGCTTATTATTGACAACTAAATTCAGAATAATATCTAGGTTATGGCCACAGTTATTTTAAATGGAATCTTTTAAATGATTTCACATAACTTTTAAAATCTTCATGTAATGGTACATTTCCATACAATTTTTCATCATACGGATGAAATAGATGTCATTCATTTATCGATTACCATCGAACAAATCATAATCTCTTTTGCTTTAATCTAATTATCACATTGTCAAAACATCATTTGGAGGATTCAATTAACCAACATAAATTGATCACTATAATTTGATAAATTAACAATAGAGAATCGTCCACTAATTAGCGCGAATTGATGCAAATTTAAATTGTGAACCATTCTATATCGATTAAGATATCTGGTTCATTAAGAGATTTATAGATTCTAGGTTCTATCCCGGGTTATTAAGCATCTGTATATGTTTAAACTAAAAATCCAAGAAACGAATAAGCCCATCTGAGAAACCATTGAATACTAAACAATAGTGCTTAGAACAACATTATTTAAGATCATTTAAATAAACTATGAAAAGCAGATAAATAATCAAAAGAAAACGTGTAGAACAAGGTAAACAACATAACTGGAAGACAATGTCTCAACATTAACTTGATCACAGAATGAATATAATTCAATCTTGTCACTGTCTACATTATTTTATAAGAGTTTAAACTAAATAATTATAGGTCACGTCAAAATACAGCAGAAAAATGCATAGCTTCAGTATATAGTCAAAGACTTCAAAAGATATACAATAGTTTACATGTAATAATTGTGATGATAGAGAAATTATATTAAAAAAAATTAAGTTAATTAGTTCGTGAGCAAATCATATTCAAAGTAGTGTTGTGGAAATTATTGAGCTCCATTGAACTTATCAATCAATCAATGTTAGATCACCTGAAGGCACTAAATACCCATTTCGTCTTAGTATGGGACTCCTCGGCAGTGCGCATCTATTATCCCGCACACGGGAATCGAACCTAAGACTTCTGGTCTCGTGTCAACGTTCAACCTCCAGATCACTGAGCTAGGATCCAACTTTTCGGGTTCCGGCTCGATTTACGCGTGAGAGATCGTGAATGCGCACTTCCAAGGAGTCCCATAACGGTCGTAGCTTCTCACTGGAACTCCGGGAATTTCCCCTTGAAGCTAGTCACGAGTAAGCACATGATGATTGTTAGTGTGGGGTTGTGGAGATAATTGAATTTCATTGAAGTCGCGAACTAATTAAATTTGAAGCTAGATCTGGATCGCGTATCAGTGATCTAGAGGTTAGGCGTTCGCACACGAGCCTGAAAGTTCTGGGTCCGACTCCCTCGTGCGGGATAGTGCATATGCAGTTCTGAGGAGTCCCATACTAGGAAAAATCGCCTCCTAGTTCTTCCAGGTTTTTAGTGGTGGTTTAACACTGATCGGTTTATGATTTCAATGTATATCATATTCAGCGTTAATCACTTAACATTAGCCTATCATTAATACAGTTGTTTAACTTCACGAACAAACTCAGATAATCTCTGAGAAGTAAATGTAACATTCATTTTACAGACTAGTTAGCTAACTACAATATCAAAGAAGACAATTCAGCCACATGTTCAGAACGGTTTTATTTGGTTAACTATTATCAAGAACTTCAGTCGTCTTTTTAATCATCGTTATTAAGTCGTGACTATCGCTCGAAAATTATGGACTTCTGACACTTGGAAAGTTTATAACCCAGTCACCAAACAATACTTTTAAGCTACATTTCCATATAGACTAAGGTAATGGCATATTGATGATTCAGTTTAGATTCAATATGAAATGACTTTGATTATTCTGTTGCTGATATTTCGACTGAAATTCGACCAAACTTGATTGGCATAAGGGCATCCTATATGTATGCTTCAATATAGCCATTATGAAACAAGTTGATGTAGAACAGATGGAACGTGGGATGTAAACGGAATCCAAAAAACGCCTCTCGTCTTACTTGAGACTCGTCAGGTGGATATACTTGTGTCCTCTAAAACTTCAACCCAGTACCATCCGCTTCAAACACCATCACGTTATCCACGTAGCCAATAAGTTTAAATAGCCACTTACTTGTACTGCGGATACAAGTTATCTGGACTCCGAAGCCAAATGGATAATGTGGTGGCATTTGAACCAACCAATACTGAGTGGGATTCCCAGAGTAGACATCAACTCTAGAATCCAGGTACATTCAGCTGATGACTCCCAGATAGAATTCCACTGCTAATCACATTCCATCTATTCTATGTCAACTTGATTCAATTGTTAAATTTTCATACTGATACTAAACAATTACAGAAAAGTTCACTTAAACGTTTTGGTTAGTCAATAAACTGCTTATTCATCTACTTACGCCTGTTACTCCCAATAGAGCATAGGCCGCCGACCAGCATTCTTCAACTCACTCTGGGCCTTCCTTTCTAGCTCTATCCAATTGTTGTTCATTCTTCTCATGTCTGTCTCCATTTCTCGGTGTAATGTATTCTTTGATCTTCCTGTTTCCCTTTGGCCTTTGGGATTTCAAGTGAGAGCTTGCCTTGTGACGCAGTTGGGTGCTTTCCTCATTGTGTGTCCTATCCACTTCCAGCGCTTCCTGATTTCTTCCTCCGCTGAGATCTGGTTTGTTCTCTCCCACAGTAGGTTTTTGCTGATAGTGTTGTCCTTTCCACTCTATCAAATGGTTTCTCATAGTCATGGAAGTTGATGTATCGTGCTGAATTCTATTCAATTGATTGTTCCACAATGATCTGTAATGTTGCGATTTGGTTGGTACACGATCGATCCTTATGAAATCCAGCTTGTTCATATCAAAGTTGAGCGTATACAAAGTCCTTCATTCTGTTTAACAATATCCTGTTGAAGACTTTTCCTGGTATTGAGAGAAGATTGATGCCCCTGTAGTGTATCACAGTTGCTGAGATCGTCTTTCTTTAGTATTTTGATCAGAAGTCCTTTCCAGTCTATTGGTACTTGTTCTTCATTTCAACATTTAAGTAACTCTACATTTTTAAGCCACTCAATAATTAGGATAAATGTTTGTGTTTACTTTATTATTCTTAAAAGTAACAATGATAGTTTACTTGTAATATTATCATTTCTCTTTCTATTATCCATTTATTTATATTTACAGGTCGATATAATAATTCATTATATAATGTTGTTTCATTATATACAAATAATATCTGTAATGTATGTGGCAGTTTCGCTTGTCCATATTGTCCTGATTATAATTTATCTAAGAAACGTATTAAATTATCAATGTCTATGATTTGTTTAATATTTTTAATAAGATGGATATTATTCTATGTATTCAATGTTTACAATTGATAATGACATGATTTGAAATGATGTAGTGTAATTCAATGTTACTTACTTACATACTTAAGCCTGTTATTCCCAATGAAGCATTGTAATTTGATGATACTTACTTACGCCTGTTACTCCTAATGGAGTATTGCGATTTGATGTTACTTACTTACTTACGCCTGTTACTCCCAATGGAGCATTATAATTGGATGATAGGAATATTTTTATTTTCATATATATTCAAAGTATGATCTATTCTATTCTTCATGTTAAACAATTAGACATTATAAATTACATCCAAGTGGATAGTTCAAACCAATTAAAATAGCAGAATACAATAATAGAGTTATCATTGACAAATGATGAACATCAGAAGGGGTTTTGTGGACAATATAGTAATTTCAATGGTTGAGATCATGAGTCACTTGAAGCTGATGAATAGATAAAATCCCATACTTGAATGTATACAAGTTTTATTAGGGGTTAATTGATCTCTTTTCTTTCTTACACAAATAGTATCAATGTCAAGTTATTGGATCATTATAGGTTTTTATTGAATAAATGATTTCCTAATTTATAGAAACGATCTAGTGTTTTACTACTACTCTTTTTTCTTTCATAAATCTTTTGTGTAAAGTATATATATATGTATACTTTCTTCGATCATCCTTTCACTTCACTTTTCCTTCATTACTTACACTTACATATCAATATGAAATGCCTATATTCAATGAATACAATAAAATCTTATTTCGTTCAATGTTAAACATAAGGTTGATTTCTTATAATCTGTTTGAAATTCCCTCCATTTTTTCTTTAAAGAGTAAGGAAAAAATAATAACCAAGTAATGTGAAGATATTTTGTTCATATGTACATGTCTGTGTATGTGTATATATACATGCACTAAATTGTAATAGTTCCAATTCTTCTCTTGTTTTGTTTTCTTCTTTCATTCAACTGCATGTTTTTTATATATTCAGGATAAGGTAGTTACTGTTTTTGTATAGATAAGCAAATGTAGGGGGAAAAACACTTATATTTTTGGTTGTAACTGGGATTTTCACAATTGAATTTATGAATGAATTTAAGTTAGACAACCATTGAAAACTTGGAATTACTGGATTTGAATTGTTTCTTTCATATCTAGATTGATTTCCTCATTCATTTTGATATATATTTAGACTTAGTTTTCATTAATGATGTAGAAAGCTAATATGACTTGTAAATGTACTTTAATGCTTAGTTCTGATCATTGAATTAATCATGTTTTACCTAAAGTATTATAGCAAGTTAGGGAAGAGTATATGGATTTCAATACAAAGCTTCTACAATATAACGTATCTATCACATAGAATCTGAGATGAATAGGTTGCCAATTTACAGCTGGGTTTTTTTTAGAATTTATTATAAGATCAAAATAATTGTATGCTGTGAATTTCATATTATTCTAAGTATATAACATTGAACCGAGCAATTATTGTTTTAATTATAACGTAGTATGCACTACGGATGAATTTTACATTGGTAGATCATGCATAATCTATCTGATAATAATAATTAATGTTTACGACTCATATTATATCATGCCTATTACGTAAGAAGAGTGTAGACTATTTACTCAATAGAAACCTGAAAAACAAACTTAGTTAGACAGAAACTGATTATGAATTAATTTCTACTGCTGATGTTTCGTTTTGATGACGTTGTATAAAACGAGAATGAAAAGCTTAAGTAGAAATGTCTTAAGATACAAGTCTCTCATAACATTCTTCAATCAGTTCAGCTAGAAATATTTCCGAGAATCTAGGTTGAACTTGTACTTGCTATTCAATTATACTGGTCAATCCTAATTGACGTAGAGGCTGACATATACATGAATTATCCCAAAGACTAATAGACTACTAGATCATGATTCACCGCTAGACTTGAAGATCCTAGGCAATAGTGTAGGATTCTGAGTGATTATCACTGAGGATTTCCACGCTATTCGATGAGGTCTGTTGAAGAAAAACAATTAAAGCTGTGAAAACCAAACAAAATATCACCTCGGTAGTAAGAAATGTTATAGATTCCATGAAAAATCTGTAACTCCGAAGTCAGAGTTGAGCACACACTAAGTCAGTTCTCTAAACTCAATATTAATGTAGAAAACTGATTGCAGCAACAACAACACGTCGTACGAGACAAACTAATGTGAGGTCTTTTACACATTGATAGCGGTAAAAAGGGATTCAACTTGGAAAATGTAAGGAACAAGTCCTAGATCAAAGCGAAGCCTTGTGCGTTGACTTCCCGACACGTCATAATTAGCAAAATAAAAGGAACTACCGAGGTCATATGATGACATTGAACAACAAACAATAAATGGATGGTTATGAGGAATTTTAACATGGAACACCTTATTAAACTTCATCCTAGTGAAACAATGAGAAATCTCCGCAAACATCCAAACCAATTACGTGGATGAACAATATACTGGACACCACACTGAATGACATACAGCGCAATCGCCCGAAAAATAATCTTAAAATCGAACGTAGGGCTGAGGTACAAACCTTTAATCGAGTCGCTTAGACATAGGTCACATATGAACAACCACTAACCATCCTATTTTGCTCTCCCGGCTAACGTGATAGTATATTTAAAATGGAGTTGGATGGACAGATCAGTCCAAAAAATTACTGTTAGTTGGGTTAAGCCCGTAGCGCGAGATGCATCATACCTGGTTGAGGTCCGTATTATGATCGTAATTCGCAGTTTTAAAATGGCGAGGCAATCAGAAGTAGTCAAATGCCAATCAATGGTAATCAGAAGTGACCCGAAGGACGAGTGCATATCATTGACCAAGAAATGGACTGGTTTCTTAAGACGTAGAGTTATATATATATGAGTATTTGTGCATTTTATTCTGTAGCTTAATATACTTTTCTGTCCACTCTTGCGTTCCCACTCAAGCAGTCAAGTGAGGATTAACATGTAGAACGTCGTGTATCGATATCAAATTTCGGACACCACTCGTTATAGTCTACAACTCAGAGTGATAAATTTCGAGTTTAGCTATTTATTCATACTTTCCATTTCCACTGATTTCATACGTTTTCCTATAATTACACTTAGCACATGTAATCCTCTCTGATACTTAGGAACATTACATCGACCTTTCAGCATTTAGCCTAGTTAATTTCGCCTTGTTTTCTGATATCAAGCTCGGTACCTTGGTCGATTTGTACATCTATGTCATAATCTAAGTTATATTTAACTAAATAGGTTGGATCAACTTTATTCAGATTAACGATCCACACTTTGTAAGAGCATAACATTCTTCACATTTAACACCAGTCTACTAACCAAGTTCCTTATTATCATTTACAATTGAACAGTATTATTTTCTCTAAAATAAAAACTGACTTTTATACAAATTTCCAATTTATAGAATAAACAGACAAAAAAACTGGAATCCTATCGAACAATCAAACTAATCTCAATTTTAATTAAGGCCTTGAGGAGTATAGTAACAGTAAAGTATAGAGAGATACGTTTAGGAGGAATGGGAAGGGAAAAAGGATTGGAAGAACAACCGATAAATTGATAAATCGGATAATTAGAAGTGTAAACAAAATGAATTACAAAGAGAATAACAACAATAGGACAGTTCGTAAAATAAAAATTCAACGTTACAGAAATCTAGTGGGAAACGGCGAAGAAATGTAAAAAAAACGAAACAGTGGAACGTACACGTAGGCGTATACTTACTACACTTAACTGATTTGCATTTTAGTTCCACAATACAATAAAAGAGGAGAAACAAATTGTGGAACTATAAGACTTAAAGCATAGAAGATGCATAAAACAATATTTATGTGAAATGTATAATTTAATAGTGAAAAAAATTAACATTTAACTGAGCAGCAAATCAATCTAGAAACAAACATTAACTTTGTTCATCATGTAAACATTCATGGATAAATGCAAGGACATACAGAAAGAAGAGATCTAATTTACATAACATACCCAACTAAGGTATGAATTTTGGAATATGGATAATATTCCCTTGAAGAAAGAAGCATTTAGAGGTGACAGATAAAACAGGTAAGTCTACAAGATATTTTGTTTGGTATAATACTAGTCACGTTTTTTATCACCTGAAGATGGTGTTTGACGATTGGTAGCGTCACGTAGACCACTTGAATTGAAACTGTTTGCATTACTATTAGGTAAACCTTGATTGCTTTGTCCTGTCCCCGTACTAGTTGAAGAGAAATTTGCATTCCCAGTCATATTGGCAGTTGACGAAGAGGTTGTCCCACTAACATTTGACAAATTTGAAGGCATAGCTTCAGATGCCTTGCTACGACTACGTTCAAAAGCACTACGAATAGCGTCGACAGTACCGCCAAACAACAGCTTACAAACAGCATTCTCAAACGGTACAAATGGATCTTTTAAGCCCAGTAGAATCATAGTAATTCTGAAAATGAAAAGGGTAACACGAACATTCGACCAAAACAATTTGTTATAATAGTCCACATCAGACAATGGATAAAGAGGTTGTGAAGATCATTGATCGATTGAAGTTAGACATTAACACTGTTAGATGCCAGCTCAGTAGTCTAGAGGTTAAGGGTACACGCGCGAGACCAAAGACCCCGGCTTGGAGTCCCGCGTGCGGGACCGTGGATGCTCACTGTTAAAGAGTCCCATTCTAGGACGAAACGGCCGTCAGTGTTTTGAATGGTGGTCTAGCTTAGACTGACTCGTGATTCCAACTTCCCAAATCCCCATACCGAAAAATATGGAATTTAGAGAATGGATGTATAATGTCAACCATATCAGTTCTAAACTAAACAATTGTATACAAATGTTTTATTCACTCCCTAACATACCGTTTAACCTCTGCATAAAGTTTACCAAAATGAAATCTTTAATGTTTGCAAATGTTGTATAAAAATTTGGTTGAGGAAAATGCACTTTTTCATAATCATAAATATTAAGCAAACTAGAAAAAAATGATTAAAAACAAAGTTTTCTAGAAGAAAATACAGGGAGAGAGTGAGGAATACAAGCTAGAAAAAATACATTGAAAAGGAATTATGCTTACATAAAATTTAAAACAACGAACTATGAACGTTATTAGCCTACCTGAGGTAAACAAACAAAGTCATTATAACTAGGAATAATTGATTTTCCGGTAACGGTATTATATCCAAATGATGACAATAATATGCAATAGCGGCAAGTAACGAAATTTTTGTAGTGCTAAAACATTTTATTGACAGAAAAACAAAATAGAAATGATTAAATACTGTATAGGAACCAGGAGGAATAAACTACTAAGAGCTAACACATCTCCCATTCCAGGTAGATCCATGCAGAAAGTCATGCGTTGTTTAGAGAAACTAAATCTTACAAAGTGGGATGGAGAAATTCATTAGTTGCTGGTAGCCATACACCACGAACAAGACGCTGTATTAATTTCATCTCACAATAACCTGCACCTATATTATTGGAAAGAAAGGATGAATGGTAAATAAGATATAGGCAAAACAACAACAATAACGGAGTATATCTAGTGATGCTTTTTAGAACAGATATAGTCAATAGTGATATATCATGTAATCACGATGCCATATATATGCCCAAACAGTAGGAATGTAACATGCCTGTACATTATCCGGCAGCCCATTAAGTTTTGGTTCATGCATAGTTGAATGATTGAATAGCTCTCCAGAACCTTTTTTATTTTTGAAATGAACATTATGTATTATCATGCTATGTGGCTTCATCACTATTTGCTAGGAGGGGGTGGCTTTCTTCCGATGAAAAAAATGTCCGTCAAATTATCTAGTGTTTGCTACGATAAGAGCGTACGACGGTGAGAAATAAAGCTAATTTATCAATCCACTTAAATTCTCAGCCTATATATTAGTGGTCGAATTTAAACTCGAGAGATAGGGAATATTTATGCTAGTGGATGACTAGTTGCTACCTGGTCATTTGAAAAATAACCTTGAACCAGATCTCTGGCTGATGATTATGATAAGTAGTAGAATGTGTTCGGTTTAAAAATTGCCATGTTTGGTAATAACGGGGGAAATCAATAGGAATGGATGTATTAGGATAATATAAAAATGAAATAGGTCAAGAAAGACTAACAAATAAGAAGTAGCAAAACCTTTCAAATAACAGCATATTCATAATATCCCAATGAGTAGAAAATTGTGTCGATTCGTTTATTTATTCTCTGGAAAAGTTGTTTATACTAAGTCGCGAGATATCAAAAATTCAATTTGCTTACTCACTGGAATGTTATAATTATATTGCTTTACTATAAACAATCCTCTGAAAGCTCAATTTATATGA